TGCTGGGGGTGAGGGCTCCCTGGCCTGGCCCACAGATGTTGTCCACTCTTGCCCAGGCCAGAGACAATGACTCAGGGAGCAACGGGGCCATCGTCTTCTCCATCCTCCAAGCGGATTTCATCACGAAGGATGGGGCCGTGCTCCCCTTCCAGGACTTCTTCCGCGTCTCCACCTCTCCAGAGGCTGATGTGTTCATTGGCCACATTGAGTAACTACGGGCAGCCCCTGGATGGGGGTGGGGGAAGCCCAAAGGGGACCTCAAGGCAGTGAGTTCCTCATCCTTGGACGGGCACAGTGGGTTCCAGAGGACTCCAGCTTGAGCCCTAAGGCTGAGTTGTTCCCTCTTACCTTCCATAGGCTTAAGACTAGCCTTGATGCCACTCGCCAAGGCACCTACCAAGTGACCGTCCAGGCCCAGGACAGACCTTCAGTGGGTCCTGCCCTGGAAGCCAACATCACCCTGAACGTGAGCTTTGGGCCTTGCCTCCAGCCCTGGTGTCCTCTGCCAGCCCCTGGGTCCCTTGTGCCTCATTTTCTCCCATGCCCCCTCCATAGCTCTTCACTGTGGATCAGAGTTACCGTGTGAGGCTGCAGTTCTCCACGAGCAAGGAGGAGGTGGGCGCCAACACGGACAAGATTAAAACGTAGGTCTGGGGAGCCTGGGAGCAGGTGTGAGCCCGGTCCCTGATAAGGCCAGCATGGAATGTCTCTCAGCCCTGTCTCAGACTCATATCTTATCCCAGTCTTTGACCCTGTACCTGCACCTCCTTTCTGCACGTCCCCAGACGCCTATGGTTGGCTGGGCAGGGAACAATCTCAATAGGGCTACTGTGTACAGTTGCTAAGGCTGTGCACTCTGCTCGCTAAGCTGTTAACACAACCCCAGGGTAAGAGCTTCCTCCTCTATTTGCACAGAGGTGCTACCTTCTTAGCCAATGGAGCTGTCCGGTGGAAGTGCCCCTTCCTAATTTACACAGTTCCTAATTTCACTGGCAGTGCCCTGGCCACTGGCCTGGTTTAAGGCCCAGGCCTCTGTGACACCTGCCCCTTTGCAGGGCTCTGGCCCAGGTGACCAGGACTACTGTCTACATTGTGGACATTGAGGACATAGAGTCCACAGCTCGGTGAGTGCCCACAGGCCCAGTGGTTGGTGAGGAAGAGGAGCAGCAGGAGGGGCTGCTGGGTGGTTCTAGGCTCCTGTTAACGCTTCACCCCTGCCCATTCCAGGGACCGAGGCCGTTCCTACCTCGATGCCTACTTTGTCTTCTCAAATGGGTCGGCCCTGACAATTGATGAGCTGAGAGTGTGAGTGGGACTGCCCATGGGGCTGGGGCAGGAGGGTGACCAGGAAGCCTGGGGGATGCCAATGTCCCTTGGGCCTGAGCGGGGCTCTGTGGACAGGATTATCCGGGAAGACCGGGATGCAGAGGCAGAGCTGGTGCAGCTGGGGCTGGTGGTGCTGGTGAGTGACCGCAGGAAGAAAGCAGTGGGGGAGTGGGGTGGGGTATGTCTGTGGACCCCAGAGCCTCCCTCATACTCTTTCTCCAGGGCTCCCAGGCTAACCAGAAGTCAGATTTGCCGAAGGTGCTCAGTAGCGTCATCATAGGATTGGGAGTGGCTTTGCTGCTGATCATCGTGATCATGACCATGGCCCTCCTGTGTACCCGAAAGAGGTAACATTCTCATCATCCTGTGTCTCCAACCTCACCTCTGCCTGCGCCCTCCCCCGCTCCGCCCCCCACCAGCCATAAAGGAGAGGGGGTAAATAGAGCTTGGGTTTAGGTGTCAGGTATACCTGTATTCAATCCCCATTGACCTGTTGTGACATCTTGAGTCATCTCCCCTCCTCAAGCCTCAGTTTCCTCATCTGCATAATGGGCATGAGACTAGATTCCTCAAAGTCCTCAAGGAAACAATGTGCATCTCACACCCAGCAAGATGTCTGGCACCTAAAATGCACTTAATAAATGCTGTTTCTTTTTCCTTTTCCAATCATTTGCAGTCAGCAGTCACATCTGGGTTTGAGTAGGCCTTGGCATTAGTCAACTGTGTGGCCTTTGGCAAATCTTTTTCCTTCTTTGACAGTTACTTGTACACTGCAAAATGGAGGGAATCCTCTTACTTGTCAGGGTTGTTCTGAAGTCACACTCCCAGGACACATAGTAGGTGTGCAGGGAAAGTAGTGATCCCTTTCCTGGTTCCCCACAGCTACCGCCGGAAGCTTCGGGCTATAAAGGCTGCCAAGGAGGCCCGGAAAACAGCAGCAGGGGTGATGCCCTCAACCTCTGCCATCCCTGGGACCAACATGTACACTGCTGAGCGGTGAGTGGGACTCAAAGGGCGAGTAAGAGGCCCCATGGGGCGGCTGAGGCACACGGCCTTGACTAGACCTTTTCTCCAGGGCCAATCCTGTGCTGAACCTCCCCACCAAGGACCTGGGCTTTGAGTCCCAATCCTCCTCCAGCGACCTGGACCATCTCAGGTGAGCGGTGTCACTAATAACCATGCTGGTTGGTGGTGGTAGTGATGGTGCAGGTGGTGGTGGTGATGGTGGTGACGATGGGTGGTGGTGGAGTTGGTGATGGAGCTGGTGGTGATAATGGTGGAGATAGTAGCGATGATATGGTGGTGGTGATAGATGGTGTGGTGATGGTGGTGTTAGTGGTGGCTGTAGTGATGATAGTGGTGGTGATAGTGGTGGAGATGGTGGGAGTGATGGTGGTGATGATGGTGTGGTGATGGTGGAGTTAGTGGTGGCTGTAGTAATGATAGTGGTGGTGATAGTGGTGGAGATAGTAGCGATGATATGGTGGTGGTGATAGATGGTGTGGTGATGGTGGAGTTAGTGGTGGCTGTAGTAATGATAGTGGTGGTGATAGTGGTGGAGATGGTGGGAGTGATGGTGGTGATGATGGTGCTGGTGCTGGTGTGATGGTGATGATGGCTGTGATGGTGGTGGTGGTAGTGATGGTGATGATGGTGCTGGTGATGGTGTGATGGTGATGGTGTGATGGTGATGGTGATGATGGTGGTGGTGATAGTGGTGGAGATGGTGGGAGTGATGGTGGTGATGATGGTGTGGTGATGGTGTGATGGTGATGGTGGCTATAATGGTGGTGGTGATGATGATGGTGTAATAGAGAAGAAGGTAGAGGCAATGGTGGTTCTTGACCACAGACAGGGAGGACTGGGCCTGCCAAACTGTCTGAATTCCATCATCTCCCTCATAGCCTCAACTCCCTGGATGACAACTCTGTGGACCTGGAAAAGAACAAAAAGGAAATCAAGGCAAGATGGGGGATTAGTTGTTGCCTGGGGATTCTGACCTGGGGTCCTTCTCTGAAGAAGTGGGGTCAGAACAGAGCAGAAGGGTCTGCTTCTGACCTAGCATTTCTGCTCCAGACCCTGAGACACCTTATGGCTTTGGAATGGGGTCCAAGCCTTGCTCCTCTACTATACACTGTGATCCTGGGGGGTGACTTCTCCCTCTGGTTTGTTTTCTCACTGCAAATGGGGATCAAAACACCAACCATGTAGGGCTGTTGTGAGGATGAAATAAGAGTGGGTATAAAAACCACCTGGCACAAAGTAAGTGCTAAATTATCTGCTTCCCTGCCTTTATATCCCATATAGAAAAGCTGGCAGGGTGGGGGGAAGAGATGTGGAGGGGAATATAACCTAGCAAAGGAGAGAAGGTAGGCTCAAATAAGCAACAGTACCACCATTTGTTCAATAAGTCAGCTGGTTCTATTGGCTCAAGAGTTTGCACGGCCTGGCTGCTGCTTAGAATCACCTGGGGACCTCTTTAGCAATACTGGCTCCCAGCCCAGGGACTCTGACCCAAGGGCTGAGGTGGGCCTGGCATGAATGTGCTGTGAAAGCCCTGGGGTCCTCGTGTGCAGGCAGGATTGAGAAGCAGGAGAGGCGTGGATGATGGGTCCTCTCCCTGCAGGGGTGGGCGCCAGAACCAGAAGGAACTACCATCTCTCCTTCCCACTTTGAAAACCACCACTGGAGAAGAAGCGCTAAGGCCCACTGAACGTTAATAGTCTGAGGTTCTGTGTGTCGGGGAGCGGTTAGGTATCCATGGCCCTCTGGGTCCTACCCTAACTAGGTCCTGCTCTCTGGGGCTCCCCACCATTTCTTCAGTGCTTACTTTCCCTTGAGAATGCCTTCCATGGAAGGACTTGGCCAACCAAAGCCTCTCATGGGCATTAAAATACCAGACTGTTGCACAGAGGTCTGGCTGTAACATGGAGGCCTCCAAACAGGATCCCAGGATGGGAGTCATAGATGGCAATCCGGGCTGCCAGGCAGTGGTGGAGGTCTCTGGGTAAACAGCTCATCTCTGGTTGAAGATGGGTTGGAAAACTCCCACGGACATGTTTAGGGTAACTGAGGCAGAAGGAAATAGTCTTGCCAGCCAGAGCTGGTGGGCAGACAGGCGGAGGCCAAAGCTGCTCCCCAGAGGGCAATGCAGTCAGGGGCCCCAGCAGCGGGGCTGGACCTGTGGGCTGGGAAAGGCAGAGAGCTCTGAAGAGTCTGGAGAGGGAGGGGGCCAGGCCACCGAGAGCCACGACTGTCCTGGGATGGCAGGGGGGCATTGTATTTAATGAGCAGGAGGCAGCGTGGAGGCCCTGGGGCTTCTCAGGAACTGGCTGCCCCTCTTCTCCCTTGGCTGAGTGGGGAACACAGTGGGGGGCCTTTTTCCTCAGATGCCTCGTGCCCTGACTCACTCAAGACCTCTGCGTTGGTGGGGGAGGTATAAGAAACCCGAGGGATCATCCAATCCTACCGTTTCAAACAACCAAGGCCAGGGAGGGGTGCTGACTTGCCCAAGGTTAGAACACTTGCAAGTCAAGTACAGATTAGAACCCAGGCCGTCTCCAAGGCGAGTAGCATTTCCCTGGGCTGCACCGTGCCAACAGCTCCTGAGGGGGGTAGTGGCGAGGGCTCTAGGGAGCACCAGGAGAATGTTTAGCCTGACCTGGGGCCGCTCAGATGCTCCACTGTTTACCAGGAACAGCTCAGCCTGAAAAGCCCTGGTGGTCCCCCAGGGACGGTGCTGGGGCTCTGCCCTGTGGTGCTCTGCTGTGCAGTAGCGGAGCCTGGGGGCTGCCTGGGCTACTGAAGGGTTCAGTTCTGAGTGTGTCTGTTTGGCTGTGTGTGTGCAGCATGTCACAAGGGGCGGGAGGCAGGGAGATGTGTGAGTGTGCACCACAATGAACAGAGTGAGACCCTGGCTGCAGAAGATGCCAGATTGCACCAGAGGCCGTGTTGTGCTGTGGACAAACTTTAGAGCCAGCAAGGCCAGTGACCCAAACCCTGCGCTGCCCCTCCCTGGCCATGAGCACCCTCTCAGCTTCAGTTTCCACATCTGTAACGTGGGGCACAATTCCTCCCTCACGGGATTCCTGTGGGTACTTCAGGTAATGGATAGACTGCGCCACTGACGCAGCCTGCCAGCACGGTGCTTGCTGTGGGGTGCAGGTGGCAGGAACTTTGCTGGACTGGCTCCTTGGCACAGGATCCAGGGCCTGGCATTATTCAGGACTGGGCAGAACACCAAAGTGCTGCTGTGTCTGTGGATGGGGCAAAGGCCAGAGGAGTTCCCCCATCAAGTGAGGTCCCACCCTTCACTTGGGTCCATCCGTACCTCCAGTGGCATGGCCACCTCTGGGACACAGCCAGAGAACTGAGGCCTCAAGAGGAGCAGGGTGGGACTCCGGCCAAGGAGCCATCTGTCTGGGTGGGCTAGAAGGCCTACCCACTTTCTCAGGGCCTGGAGACATCACCCCATCTTGTCTCTGCCCTTCACACCTCTCCTCTCTCCCCCTACAGAAGGAGCCCCCACAGAGTCCGATGGAGCCGGACGCAGAGCCCCTGAGCGTGGTGCTGTCAGGAAGGACGGCAGGCGCAGGTGGACAGCAGCAGGCGTTGTCCTTCACCAATGCTGGCCTGGACACCACCGACCTGTGACGGGGCCCTGCCACAGAGCCCTGCATGGGCCCCACTCTTCTGGTCTACCTCGGAAGAGATTCTGTTTCCCCCAAACTATACCTACCGTCCCTGCATATAATAATATAATAATATACTACTATCGTGTTGCTCTGCTCCCTTCTGCTTGCAGCCAATCACAACTGATGAGAGTTGGGGGAACATTTTATTACCAATGTATACTGTGACAGTTTGTAGCCAAAAACCAAGGCTGGAGAAGGGGGGCGGACTAGGTGTTCTGAGTGGTCTTCAGAGACTTGTGGGGCTCACAGCACAGGGGGTACAAGAGGCTGGAGAGGGAGGCCTTTAAAGGACAACCGTGGTTGTAGAATGAGCTCTCCGTTCTGCCCCAATACCCAAGACCAGCTGCCACTCAGTCTGCCTGTGGCCCAAGACCTGTAACCCAGACCTGTCCCAGACCCTCCGACCCTTCTGTGACTCTCCTTTCAGCTGCAGTGCCAGGGCACTCCTGCAGCTGCCTCCCCCGTCTGGGGATTGTAAGGAGTGTTCTGCGAGGGTGGACATAGGGCTGGGAGTTGGGCCAGGTGGAGGGGGAGACAGGAATTGGGGGTGACTACCAGCATGCAAGAGATGCCTGGGCCATGGGGAAAGCCCGTGGGGAGGACACAATTTCGCACATGCCCAGGGCCTCACATTCAGAGCCTTGCGCACTCTGGGGCCTCACACACCAATCCTTGCACACTTGGAGCTTACGCACTGTCTCTCTCATTCTGGGGACCTGGCTGACACTGGCAGCCCACCAGCTCTCCGCGCTCAGGGCTGTGGGACTGAGCAGGCCCCTGAGGTCGCCCAGTGTGACTGGGAGGGAGTGGAGCTGAGAGCTGTGAGGGGACAGTAGGGAGTCAGGGCTGGGCTCCTGGACTCATGGCCAGGAGGGAGCTGGGTAGAGAGGGTTCATTTGTGTGGGAGAGGAGGGAGCTGGGAAAAAGAGGCTAAGTCCCTAGAGGCTGCCCATACCTTGGAGGCCTGTGGCGTGTCCAAGGGATCCCTTCCAGGGATCTGGGGTCAAGAAGGGAGCCCGAGAAGGGTGGAAACCGGGGCGTACAAAAGGGGAGCTGATCACTCGGCCGAGGGGCCGGCTCGTGAGCAGCACCGGGGCCGGCGCACGCTCTGCAGCAGCGCGCGGAAGAGGCCTGGCGGGCGCTTGGCGGCACCCTCGGGGGGCGCAGCACGCACCGATCCTGCGC